AGTGACGGGTTCTGAGAAACAAAGGGCCAGCAGCCCCCAGCAGCACCAAAAGTGATAAAAGTGACGGGTTCTGAGAAAGAAAGGGCCCCCCCAGCAGCCTCCAAAAGTGACAAAAGTGACGGGTTCTGAGAAACAAAGGGCCCCCAGCCCCCAAAAGTGACAAAAGTGACGGGTTCTGCTCCCCAGCTCCCCAGCAGCCCCCAGCAGCACCAAAAGTGACAAAAGTGACGGGTTCTGAGAAACAAAGGGCCCCCCCAGCAGCAGCGCCCAGCAGCACCAAAAGTGACAAAAGTGACGGGTTCTGAGAAACAAAGGGCCCCCCCAGCTCCCCAGCAGCCCCCAGCAGCTGACAAAAGTGACGGGTTCTGAGAAACAAAGGGCCCCAGCTCCCCAGCAGCCCCAACAGCACCAAAGTGACAAAAGTGACGGTTTCTGGGAAGCAAAGCGCGGACGCTCCGGTGCACCTGCACTCCCTGTTAAGGGCTTAGGGGTTTGTAGGGTTTAGGATTTAGGGTCAATAGTCAAAGGCACGCGGTGCACCTGCAACGCACTCAGAGCGCTGAAAGAGCAACGTTGAGGTCGCCTGAGCGCAAGGGGCGGCTTCCGGATGGAGGGCTTAGGGACCCTAAAGGCGGGTGAAGGGGAGAACCCTCCTACATCTAAAACCCCTCGAAAACCCCTCGCAGATGCAGACGCTCTGCGCAAGGCACTCCTGCAGAGAGGAAGGGGCCAGACGTGGGTAGAACTGCTTAGGATTTGGGGCACGGTCCAGCTTTGAGGTCTTATGGCTTGTTTTGCTGACACTCAGAGTGCCCGGCGCGGTGAACGCGTAGAAGATGAGCACCTCGCGGGCAAAGGCAAGGGGGCAACTAAGGGACGCACACGCATGCACTCAAACGCAAAACCCTTTCCACCAACAAGACAATAAGCCTGCCTGAGTCAGGGCCCTGCCTGCCCCCTCCGTGCCCTGCAGAATGAATGGCTGCGGCCGAAAACATGTGTCTCCAGGCGAAATTCAAAATCAAGCAAGCTCTATCCCAAACACGTGGGTCTTGACTGAAAATCAAAATCAAGCAGGCTCGTTCCCAAACATGCGGCTCCCTTCACTGAACATCAAAAATCAAGCAGGCTCTATCCCAAAACGCAAGCTCCCCTCACTCAAAATCATTCAAAATCAAAATCAAGCAAACTCTTGTCCAACACGGCCGCGCCTGCATTTGTGAGCGCGCCCCCACACTTGATTTGCCATGCGGCCATCCTAGAGCACGCTCAACAGCTCCGAGCTAGTAGCCCGGCTGGCCCCGACGTAGAGGTGCCGCAAGTTGAAGTGCTGCGTGCCCGCGTCCAGCAGCCACACCCGGCCGCGGAGCGTCAGCCCCTGGCAACTGGCGTAGGTGATGGCATGGCACAGCCGCGTGTGCCGCAGCAGCTCGGCGTGGGTGAACTGCTGCCCGCCGTCCAGCACGACGCGCTCCGCGTCCGCCTCGGCCACCCGCACGAAGGTGCCCTTGGCCACCTGCGTTGGTCGTGGGCGCGCCCGGCGCCTGGTGCTCGATCAGCACGGCGTCCGCGGGCGCCAGGCGCCTGTGTGTGTGTGTGTGGGTCGGCCCGGGTGCTCTCGGCCTTACAGCATGGTCCCCGCCGCCATCTCAGCCCTTCCGAAAACGTCATGAGGGCTCCGGCAACAGTTCAACATGCCGGGCGCCTCGTCTGCGCCAAGCTGCGCCACCCGAGCCTCCGTGTGCCCGCCCCCCCATGCCAGCAAGAAATTGCTATATTCGAGCCGGCATGGGTTGGAATTGGTACTTGGCAAGACAGCACACTTCCTCGGCCCCGAAGCTCTTCCCCCAGCAATCCCTCACCAGGGTACTAGGCTGGGGGCGCAAGTGCACAATTTACCTAGAGTCCCCACACGCACGCACACGCACCGCCAGCAGACAAGGGGAAAACGGCAAGACTAGCCGAAACCCCGCAGGCTGGACACGTCACAAACACAGTATGCCCTTGGTGCGGTGGGGCAGTGCCCAAAGCTACGGACACCACCCCGGGACAAAGGGGGCAGGCGCCTGTTCTCCCGCTCGTTGATCTGAACCCGGTGGGCGTGGGAGAGCACCAGGCACACGTCGGGGTGCTGGCCCGCCGGCCGCGGGAACTCGCGCCGCGCCAGCCTCACAGCCTCGGCCAAAGGCACCTCCTCGGCTTCCCAACCCGGAGCCAGCTGATGAACTGGAAGATGCGCTCGTCCGAGCGGCGGTTCTCCGTGAGCTCGTGGCAGAGGTCCCGCAGCAGGTCGCTGTCCTTCAGCGGCTCCACGCGCGCCCAGCGAAGCTGTCCAGCACCGCCGGCAGCTGCCGGAAATCGCCCATGAGCAGGAACCCGCACGCCGCGATCCAGCGCCACGCAGGCCACATCGGCCCAAAGGCCTGTGTCCATCTCGATCACCAGCCAATCGAGCTGGCAGCGGCCGTTGCGCACCGTGCGGCGCACCCAGTGGTCGGCGGTCTGCGCTCCCAGTCCCAAGTTACCAGCTGCACCACATCGCCGGCCTCCCGCAGCTGCTCCACGATGCGCCTCGCAAGGTGCGTCTTCCCGGCGCCGGGCAACCCGGTGAGCAGCAGACTGCGCCCCTGCAGGCAGTGGGCCACCGGCTCCTCGACTCGCTCCCAGCCGCGGCGCTGCGGCGGCCAGGCCTGGATCTCCGGCTCGAAGTGGTGGCCCCGCAGCTGCTCGACCTCGTACCTGTAGACGGCACGCCGTCGGGTGGCGCAGGCGCGTGAGCCGC